AAATACTCATACATTTCAACAAAGCCCACATGCAATTGAAGGCAGTACCCATAATTATACTAGTTACAAGGCCTAAGACCTAAGCCTCTTCTCATCAATCAAATAGGTAGTTGGGTACCCATAATTCTGAAGGAACTTAGACATGTAATCAAACCAAGCCCCAAGAAAAGAAAGCAGAAAACCAAGTCAATGGAGAGTTGGATTCCAAGTGGGTTTTCTAAGTCAAATCCAACTGAGAAACTTACTACATTCGCTGTTGTTCTCTCCCAGACGTTATGAGCTTTGTTGATATTTTAAAAGATGCAAGTTGCTAGTATGATAGTCCTTAATCTTACATCACATGTCTTGGATGTACACATATAATGCATATTGCTCTCAACTGTCTCAAACCGAAGTTAACAATTTGATTAAGCCTACTTGTGTTGTACTGTGTGCTACTAAAAGTAGTGCACTTTGTTCCCATATCCCTAATATGAATCAAAACATACCACAAATTCAGTAACACTGCTCCATTCCTAATGTTTTAGCAACCGTCTTCTGTCATTATCTACAGTTGTATCTAGTATTTCCATATGCTTTAATGTTGTACATAGATCTTTACTTGCAGATTTACATGTTTAAGTGATATAATTTGCATTTTGATTCTGTAGCCTTTTTGGAAAGTTACAAATAATTCATACGGTAAAGGCAGGGGAGTTGTTGGTAAGTAGATCTCAAGTCGATTTCTCTTGCGTTATGGCCTCCTTATTCAATCAAAGTAAAGATGTTTCAGGTATAACAAATCTTCTTATTTACATTTTTTTGCTCGCCACTGGGAACTTTTCCAGGTGTACTTGAGGCAAATTTTGTTAAACCTACGCATGACAAGCAAGACTTTGAAAAGTCATCCATCTATCAAAAGCTTGAAAACCGCTTGAAAGAAATGACATATGAATATTGGTATGCTCTAATTCTAATGTGCCTTATCTAGAAGCTAAATTCTAGTTTTATGTGTGCGATTTGTTTGCTTTGTGCTGTCTCACATGGGTTTCCTTTGGCTTGTATACTTGTTCTCTTGTATTATGTCATGCTTCTGCTTTTAAGATTTAATGCTTATTATAAATGAGTTTTATTTGATAATTGATACAATGTTAATTTATGTAAAGATGTTATTTGCTTCCAAGTGGGGGCCAAAATTGATTCGTAAACATGACAAGCTTGTGAATGTGTTTAGCCATTTGTTGGCTATCTCCTATTGTTCAAATCAAAATGACTGTAGTTCCTTATGCCTATGCACCCAACCACTGTTCCATTACCACAACTACATATCGTTAGGTTTCTATCAAATAATGCTTGTAATCTTTCATTTTATCATTATCTCGGGCAAAAAATTTACGAGGAATAACTTTTTTCTTTTTTTTTTCAAAATTTAATATGTATTGCAGGGACTTACATTGTCATTTACTTGGTTACAAACCGGTTAAAAGGGCAATTCATCACATGGGTTCAATTGCCGAGACTCGTCTGAGAATATCTAAAAGCGCTCGCAGTAAGCCAATCTCTTTCACGACTTCCCATAGGAGCTGAAGCTTTTCCAATTGAATCTTAGTTTTCTACAATTAATGGTTCAGGATTTTCTGACCCCGGAACTTCACATATTCCGGTTGTGAAGGATCCTGGAGTCCCATCAGGCAGAACACAGCAGCAGTTAACCATATACAATCCTCAGGATCAAACTGGTAGTCTTATATTTCAAATACCATAATATTAATGCGGAAATCTTGTTAATTGTGTAGAATAATTAGAAGTTTCTCTATGAGTCAAATAGGTTTACCGCAAAAAAGGAAACTGGAAAGGGAAATTTCTGTATCAAGATTATTAAGAAGGCAGGCCCTTCAGGATGTTTTCACGAGAAGGGCAACTGGAACTGGTGACGGTCACGAGACACAGGTAGGAGTTGCTCATATATTATTAATATATTAAGGTTTGGGCCCAGCAAGTTCGTAAGGTATGAGCTTGTGATAATGTTTCTCTGCAGTGTTTCTTTTATGGGTTAATTGCTAATGGACCCTCTGTACTATGACCCTATTGCAGGACTCCCAGCAGTTCCATTGTTGCGGATAGACCCTGGAGTGAAATTTCTTTACTCTTTTATCCTCTGGAGGTCTAGTTGTAAAAAAAACAGTGTTCTCTTTCTCTTCGTGTAAAAGAGTCAAAAAAGTTCCACTCTGGATGTCTATCTGCAACAATAGAACTATACATGGGTCCATCTGCAATTAAGCCTTGTTTTTATTTGGAGATATAAATGTCACCTCTTAACTCAGTGCAATAATTGAAGGCCTATGAAGCACGGACACGCATAACATGAAGCCGTGTCGTGTCGTGTCCGTGTCGGACACACGTGTCAAACACACGTATCCTATGTATTTTTTAGGATTTGCCTCGTGTCGGCGTGTCGGATGGCCGTGTCGGATCCGTGTCCGTGCTACATAGTTGAAGGCTATCATCTTTTGTATTCCAAATCATGGACCAAAATGGAATTACTAGTTGAGTAGTATGCCAGTTTGAAACATTATAAGAACCGATTAAACCTCATATATGTGGACTGATGTGTGATCCTTATCAGTGGAGAGATTTTATTCTTATCTGCTGCTTAGTGGCAGTTTACATGTATCCTGTTGCTTAGAAATTCTACCTAAGCTGACCTTTCATTTCCATTATGCAGTTGGAACAGTCTGCTGAACAGAAGCGAAGGAGAGAGATTAAAAACATGATGCAAGTGAACAAGAACCTACGTGAACAGTGAGTGAAACTAAGCTGTATTAGCTTCCCTTTACTTTTGAATACATGCAATTTGTCTTCGTTATGTCCATCTTTTTACTTTTATTCAGATTAGATCAGTATAATTGTTTCTTTACTTCTGAAGTACAATTGGTATATTTGGTCTTTGGTAGTTAAAAGTTCTCATGACTATCTTTACTCTTAGTTGCGACCCGGGATTGAAATTTTTAATTTTTCTTTCACAGATGCTTGGAATTCGAGCAGAGAGAGAAAGAGCTTTTGATCAAGGTATATTCATTTCCGTATGGATAACTTCATATTAATGGTAAAAATGATATTTGTCAAAAGTTAAAGGAAAAAATCACGAGGAAGATCACCTGAAATGTTGTTTAATAGTTCTGTTCAAGATATTATGTATGTAGACTTACAATTTATTTGTTAAGCAGGAAGAAAAACTAAGAAGAGAGCTGAGATCTTTTCAACAACTTCACAAGAAACTATCTACCGAGCTCAATGCCTTGGCTGAGGTGAAGGAGGAAAAATTGTGACATAGTTTTTCTTTTTCTATTAATTTATTTAAGTTCAGATGTGCGTTTCACCTTCCTCAGGTGACCCTTTAGTATATTAGCGACGCATTGTTGTAAATTCATTTGACAAGGATAAGCAAGTACTTGAACGTAGAGCATGAGAAATGGGAAAAATTACCCGATGAGACTAATCACTAGAAATTTTTTTTGCAGTATTCCCTGTATCAGTCTTGAACTAAGGTTGTTGGATCATTTATGTATGCTTCATTTGCTATACACGGTGAATTTTGTGCCAGTGGCTTATGTATTTTTGCTGTAACACCCAGTAATCTTGTGATGCTGTACTTGTTTCGATTAGTCATCTTTTGAACAGAAAGGTTCCAGTGTAATTGCTTTGATTGGTTATGTTGACGATATCAATTACTCCAATGGACAATAACAATTACTCGAATCATTTTCACTGTAATCCAACTCCAAGTGATCTGCTTTATGTTTACTTTCTACAGGAGATTTTGTCAATGGGAGATTTATACGTTTGATTGGTGAGACTGCGAAAAAAATTGATTTAGAAGTAGAGCCAAAAACATTTTGAAGCCAAAATTTTAGCAGGATTCAGATTTTGAACAATTAGAAGCGTCGTTTTGCAAGAAACGATGTTGATTCATTTATCTTGTTTGCTAATAGTTGTTGTTTCTGTTTGTTGGGCACGCTCAAGTTATGCATATTGATGGATTAATAAAACAGGTGTGTTTGGCAACATGGTCTAGTTTTGGGTTTGCCTTTTAATTAGTAAAAACTGGGTCAATTCTGGCCTAGTTCTTTTTTAGGCCAAAAAAAAAGGACATAAAAGGAGTTTAGTGTGGAACGAAGAGGTGGTGGTCCAACACTACTAGTGAAACCTAGCCTAGTTTTTGGATAATTTCCAAAGATTTTTTGTTGGTATAGATGTGGGTGTCACTATTTGTGTTTGCATAAAATAATATGATTAAAAACATATTTGAATATTAGATTTATGTGTATCGCATGTGACATGAGAAAATAATATGGCAGAATATTTAGGCAAAAAAGGGGACATAGATCTCCAACCCTGACACTATTTCGATTCCGCCATATCTCCCACATATAAGAGGCTGTTTGGTTGTATGCTTTTACCATGTAAAAGGTTGGAAAGTGTAAAAAAGTGGGTCTCAATGACAGCTTTCATCACTTTACATTGTTTGTTTAAATTCTCTTTTACATGAAAATCTTACACCTTTTGATAAGGTGTCACCGAAAGCAAAATCACCAAAATTATGAGTGATTTTGTTGGAAAGCTGACACAATGTCATAAATGTGTCAAAAATTAAAAAAAATTAAAAAAAAACAAAATCTTGTAGAAAGTGGTGAGAGGTGGATAATCACTTTCCATTTTGTGTCATAAATACTCTAATTTACATTATACTATCCAAACAATGTAATACTATTATTTTAGGATTCACAAAGATTCCTAACCAAACAATATAAACACTTGAATATAAAGTGATAAGATGGATAATCACTTTTTATTTTGTGTCATAAATACTGTAGTTTCCTAAAGGCGTCCAAACAACCCCTAACTGCAAACGCCCTCTCGCTCTTAAGAGCATCTCCAAGGGGCCGGAAAAATCCGGCCCCTTACCTAAATTAAGGGAGATTTAAAGGAGATGTGGTCCAAGGGACCGGAAAAAAAACCCCCTTCACCTCATGTCCCTTAACTTCCTCACCAAATTAAGGGGAATGTTAAAGTCCCTTAACCTTCCCTTTATAATTTTATATTAATATATATGTTTTTAGAATTAATTTATAGTTAATTAAATTTAGTTAATGTATAGTTAATTTAAAATAATATAATTAAGTTAATGTATAGTTAATTCAATTTGATTAATATTTTGTTCTAAATTACTTATTTGTTAAATTTTAATATGAATAATTAATTTAATGATTATATAAGGTAATTTCTTAATTTAAATTAATTAATTAATCATTTTTAGTTATTAATATTTAATTATTTATTCATTTATAAAAAAACCACATATTTAATTAAATCATAATCTATAAAATTAAAAAACTAAATATAATTAATTAAGGGGTAGGGGACTTTTAAGGGGGAACCATTGGAGAAGAACCAACCCCTCCCTTAAAGTTCTCCTAGATTAAGGGACATTCAAAGGATCCATTGGAGATGCTCTAAAAGAGGTTCACTTATTAGGAGTACTTGTTACTACCAACAACTAGCCCAAAATGTGTGAGACTCAAGACATGTAGGCCTCAACATTTACAACTTTAGTTTAAAAAAAAATTTAATTCATACAGTAGGTAGATATAATATTCAATTATTCACTGCCCACTTGCATGAGGCGGTTCATAGAAAGCCCGACATCGCGAGAAGATAAGCCCGAGCGCGTCAGCCTTCGATTTCTTTAATGGTTCGGGCAGCTCTCGCTCAAAACCCTAGATCTACCCGCTGCCCATAAAACCCTAGCAAACCCTGATTCTCCCTCTATAAAAAGGAAGCATGAACCCTAAAACGTTCGTATCGTAGCCTCTTTTTCTCTGCGTCCCTTGATACTTTCTTTCCTTTAAAATTGTATGCGTGGTTTCTTTCTTTTTTTCTTTCTTCTTTTTTTTTATTTTAAAAAATCAACTGGTCTATGCTTTATAGAATTTTCCTCGTCTTTTTCACGGTATACCGTGTATATTACTCTTGTTGTAAGTTGTTCCTCAGTATTTTTGATGTTGCTGATTTTGGTGCAAAAACTTCCAATCCGGCTGTGACACGTAATGGGCAGACCCGGCCACCTTTTGCGCAGATTTAAGACAAAGTGCTAGCTTATTGTGTGACATGTTGAGATTTCCCGCAAAGCTTCACCAATTCCCCCAACTTGTTTGGGTTTTGTTGGCACACATTTGCTTTTGATGCTAACTTATTATCAATTTTTTTCCTTGTGAAACCTAGATATAGCTTATTTTTTAATTTTCTGCAGCATATATATATATATATATACACATGTATTGCTAGGTGATTTTTCTTTGGATAATTAAGTCTTTTCTTTCTAAAGGATAATTCTAACTAAACTATACTTTTCTAAAGGATAATTCTAATAAAAAAATGTGTAATCCAGTTATCAATACTGTAGGAAATAGTGCAATTTCTTATTTTTATGTAATTTAATTTTTTCTTGTTAGATTATTTGTATGAGGGATTAAACCTTCTTTGCTTCATGAAATATGAAATAATGATGGGAAGTTTTCTTGTATTTTCTGATACCAGTTTTTGTAAATATCAAAAACAAAACATTGAAAATAATGCAAGGGAGATCGAGGGTAGGTAGAATATAAAACATAATTTTTAGATGATATCTCAGCAATCTAGTTCAGATTCCACTAGACACATATTTAAAATAGACTTAGAATTACAATAATTCAAATGTGGGTCCATAAAAAGTTTTTGCAAAACTTGCATTGTTTTTAATATCAAATTATAATCCTAAATACTTGTTATTATGGGTTTAATTAGATGTGATGCGCTTCGACTTTAAAGAGCCTAAAAGCACAAACCTTTTTAATTATTTTCTGTAAGAGTTGTATGCATTTACTAAAAAAAATTAGTTCTTATTTGTATTTAAGTGATGGGTATTAACAGTCTAGCGAAACTACAACTTGCATTTTTACGACTATAATTGCACTGTAAATTTTTTTTATTTTTTATTTTTTTGAGAGGACGGAATGCACAGTATCCCAGAGTTCCCCAGCCCTAGTAAAATAACAAAAGAAAGTGATAAGTATTATTTGCTGATGGAATCAGAATTGATATTTATCAAAGGACAGGAAGCTGCTTGGGGCAAACTATTCTCACCAATTTTTTTACAGGTTTCAGATGTTTAAAAGTCACAAAATGAAGATATGACATGTTGCCTAGAGGATTGGGATCCTCCACTAAGGCATAGTGCCTCCTAATATCTCTTAATGTATTTTCATCTTTTATTTTGTGCATAAACACAAAATACGAGGATGTACTATGCAATGAAAGGTAGAGATGCATTAGGAGATATTAGGAGGCACTAGGCCTTAGAGGATCCCAATCATTGACTAGTTTAGGATTAATAACTTTGTATATATCTAACGTTCAATTGGAGTTGTCGAGACAAGCAAATATTTTTAAAATAGTATGCTCTGTTTTTTTCTTAAGACATAACTGATCTCCTCCGGTGTTCGACGGCTGGAACCACATCCATTTATTCCATGGACTCGGACCGAAAAGGCCTGTCAACTTAAGAAGGCTGGTTTTAAATAGATTTTGTGGGCCTTTCTCTAAAAAGCAGATAATAAGCAAGGAAAAATGTTTCTAGCCCTCAAAACCAAAGAAAACGTGCTTCTTCCTTTCAAGACTTTTTCAACGGATGTTTTGCCTCCAAAAAATAAACTTTTTGTTCTCTGAGCCCCCAAAACACAAAACCCAAGAGATTAAAATACGTGAAAACCATAATACCCTCCATGGTCACCTCCTCCCTCCTCTCCAAACCCATCGACCGCAACCTCCTCTCCTCCTCATCCTTCCATGGTCTCAAGATCTCCTTCGCCTTCAAACCCCAATCTTTCTCCTCCCCATCATCGTCATCCTCCGCCCCCAAAATCTTCGCCTCTTACGACCCCTCCTCCCTCCGCTTCCGCCCCATCAAAGAATTCATCGTCTCTGCTTCCGTCCCATCAAAGACTTTAT